TATGCCTTGTTTGAACAACTACGGTGTGTTGCTTATGAAATCCTTGAAGTGCTACAGAGAAAATTACATTTTATTTATGCAATTAACACTTTTTGAACTCTTAAAGAAATATAACAAAAGGAAAGACACCCAGCTGAACTAAAATTATCCATGTAGCAAACAAAAACTGTTGTGAGCCGCCACCCTTATATCGCCTTTGGGCTTTTGGAGACTTGACCTGACTTTAAAAAAAAATAATTGGAAAAAAGCTCTATTCTGCTAAAAAATGAAAAATAGATATTTACAAAATTCTGCCTAAATATGTATTTTACCTGGTTAATGGGTGTGGCGGGGCGTGGTCTGCAGCGCCGCTGCAGGGGAGGGGGACACACCTGAGCGGCACCCGCAATCATGCCTCGCCGCCTTTACGTTTGTGCTGTTGTGTTGGTATGTGTCAGGCTGTGAGCTGAAAAACTACAGCCGGCTGTATGCGTCAGCAACCGTGTTCATGGAAACATCGTCGGGTCTGCCGTGATGTGTTTACAATGGAACTTATGCTCCTGAACCTCTGCGCACAGCGTCTGCAGATCGGGTCTGTACGAAGTCACTTTCATCTTTACGCAGGACTGTAAGCTGTCATCTGTGAGGCGTGAGCGGTGTTTGTTTCTAACATAGTTCACGGTGGAGAACAGCTGCTGACATAATGTGGATCCGAAGATCCATAATTGACCTACCTGGGGTTGAAAGTCTCGATAAATGCACGGCGTTTCGGCAGGTATACCGGCTTCCGCGACTGTGACGCTTACTTTGAGCGATGAAAAAATAATAGAATATAATTTTATTTTTTGTATTTCAATATCACAATAATCTTCCAATTTAGAACTACAAGTTAAAAAAGAACTAACATAAATAAAATAAACTTCAGCTAAATGCTTCTAATTTATTTTCCCAAACCACGCGGAGCTGCACTATAAGGACTAAAGAGCCGCATGAGGCGCCGGAGCCGCAGGTTGCCGACCCCTGGGTTAGGGTCATCTGTAATCGGTTATGAACTACCTCCAACGCTTCAGTGACTGGAACACAAGTGAAACGAGATGTAACATTGTACAAGACCATTGTTTGATCTGCCTATATAATGACATCTCTCACCTTCCCAACAAAATCCAAGGTGTTGCGGATGTAGTGGTCAGAGCTGCCTACCAACGGGTTGAGGATCAAAGCCAGAAACTTTGAGATGTTGTAGGTGATCGAGTTGATCATACAGACGGTTGGTCTTAAAGATACACCCTGTATGTTAGGTAAACCATACAGACTTAGCGTAGATTCCCTAAGTATAGCTTGTGGTATGAGTGTGCAAATGAGCTCTTCAATTAAGGGCCTCCAACCAAAAAAAATCTTCCAGACGACCAGTGTTGGGAAGGTTACTTTTAAAATGTATTCCACTACAGATTACAGATTGCATGCCCCAAAATGTATTTTGTAACGTATTCCGTTGCGGTACTCAGTGAGAGTAACGTATTCTGAATACTTTGGATTACTTAATATATTATCGAATTTTTTACCACTACATGATGTACTATTGCTGAGTGATTATTAATATTACTGAAAGATACTTGCCACACCAATACCAACTAGATTTTTAAATCTTAATATAAATGAGTAACAGTAGGGGGACATTAGGTAAGGCTGCACTTTTTGCAGCGATCTCGTATAGAAAACTATTCTGTGCATATATAAAACAGGTCTGCAGCTCAAACCGTAGTAAAGGGACCTCTGGCTAATACGTCGGGTTTGTGTCGGGCTCGTAGCCGAAAACTAACTTCACTTTGTTGTCTGGGTCAACTTTGCTAGCGAGAGACAGAGAGAGGCGTTGAAAGGCTGCTCCAACGGAACTTATTGTTTGGAGAAAAACACAAACACAGTGCACAGTCGAGTCATAATAGCTGACTTACAACTGGGCTACACTGCCCATTAGGCTACATTCTTCAGGGCGATGCCTGTAACCCTCTACCTATTGAGACCCAGGCATTTGAGCCTCTTAATGTGTGTTTTGTGGGTTTCCACCGGCGTGGAATTACCAAAAAAAAGAGGGGACAGTTTAACATATGAAACAGCAAAAGACCGCCGTGTAATCCATATATTTCAACAAAGTAACTGTATTCTGAACACCACCTGTTAAACAGTAACTGTAGCGAAATACAGTTACTCATATTTTGTATTTTAAATACTTAACGGCGGTACGTGTATTCCGTTACTCCCCAACACTGTCCTTCTGGCAGACAAGGGTAGGTGCACAGTTTTGCTAAACCAGAAAGACTATCATGAGAAAATTTTGTCACTGCTCAGTAACAAAAATACTTATGAGCCCCTGAAATGAGACCCGGGAAGTGTTTACAGGAAGAGGGTGATATATTGTCTAAAGCAGTTAGAACAAGACAATGCTACTAACCAGACTTCATAACGCAGGCTATACCCAGGGGAACCTACACCAAGTCTGTATGGCTTACCTTTGATTTAAGAAAGCAGAGTTTACCAACACCTGCACTATACATTGCACCCCAAATCATGACTGACTGTGGATATTTCACACTGGACCTCCACCAGCTTGGTTTCTGTTCCTCACCTGTCTTCCTCCAAACCCTTGGACCTTGATTGCCAAATGAAAGGCACACTTTAATCAGGAAAGAGGACCTTGGACCACTGGCCAACAGTCCAGTCTTTCTCCTTGGCCCAGTTGAGTTGCTACCAACATTGGCTCAGTCTCAGAAGTGGTTTGACCTGAGGAACAATACAATTGTAGTCCATCTCCAAGAGCCGTCTGAATGTGGTGGCTTTTGAAGCTGTGACTCCAGCCTCATTCCACTCTTTCTGGATCTCTGCCAGATTCTTGAATCTTCTCTGTTTGATAATCCACTGAAGGCCACAGTCATCTCTTCTGCTGGTGCATCTTCTCCTGCCACATTTTGCCCTTCCACTAGACTTTCCATTGATATGCTTGGACACAGCACTCTGTGAACAGCCAGCCTCTTTAGCTATGAACTTTTGTAGCTTACCCATCCTATGGAGGGTAACAATGATGCTCCTCTGGACAGTTGTCAAGTCTGCAGTCTTCCCCATATATTGAACCTAACTGAGACAACTGAACCAAAGTGAAGCAATTTAATGACACCTGGGAAAACCTGTGCAGGTGCTTTGAGTTTAGTAAATGAGTTGTTTGTGATACTCAATTTAAAACATTCATGCGCTGCGCTGATGTTTTCTACAGTATTCTAATTTTTTGAATTCCTGTTTTTGTGGGTTTTATAAGCTGGAAGCCCAGATTATGTATAAATACACAACTAAATACTTGAAATCATTTAAGTTGTGGGCCCTGAATCTATAATTTATGAAAGTTTAACATTTTGAATAGAAGTATGGAAATAAGTAAACTTTTCCATGATATTCAAATTTTTTGGAAAGGGTCTGTATATGTGTACCTTGCACTTCATGCCACAAATAGCAGTAGTGACTGAGCTTAGTCCTGTTTGAGTGCCTAAGGGTTAAGGACAAGAATAACAATCCCATAGAGGCAACAGCGCTATTGTTACAAAAACGGACAGTTGTAACAAAAGATGAAAGAGAGGTGACAAATGTGACAGGAAATGTACTTTTGAATCTATTGTGTGTTAACCAATCAGATACTGTCTGACTTAAAACAATCATCTT